CGGCGAGTATATATCTTCGTTCCATTATATTTCCAATATCAGGGCTGCATTTGTAACGAGGAGCCGAGAATTTTAAACTGTTAAGCTGTATAAAGGCATCATGACAGAAATGACACAACACGAGACAAAGTTACAAAGTTTTTCTTTGCTGCGAATATATTGACGTCATTAATAGATAATACGGATTATCGAAACTGAAAGGCGTGTTCTTTGTTCTATTTCAATCTGATTTATTTGGTATAAAGTCGCACACTCTCGTTTAGTAACGGGGACGGTAATACATTAGCTTAAATCTTTCGATGTAAGTTTGTGGATAATACCGGCTTGGAATTTCGACCTTCTTCCTAAATCGATCGTCGCAGTTCCTGAGCCACAGTATAACAATCATTTCAAATCATGGACACTGGTTAAGTGCCTCATCGATCAATATCGGACTTCCGTCGACCGACCTCAACAAGGGTAATTTATTCGGAGATTATGTCTTCCGCAATTTATCGGTATTATTGATAAGATGTGGCTCGTAGGTTATTTACTGAAAACCTGGATATTACAATATAAGAAACTGTAATTATGCGTGGTTTTACACTGATCTCTCATTACAAGGCAAAGTGTTAGAGACATTAAACAATAAAAAGCTCCATAATTGAAGCAAATCAAAGAAGATGAGATGGGAGGAAAATTTAGTACACAAATGGGGGAGAAGGAGAGTACAGAAGCTAACAGGTGAATCGGAAACCCTCAAGGAAGAGACCATTTTGGAGATTAAGGTGATCACAAGCTAATACTAAAATGGACGGATACTGAATATAAGGTATCAGGGCTCAGGAAATAATTCAAATAAAATATTTTTTAAAGTAATTCTTCCTTTCCCTCTTAAAGCAGAATTATATATTTTTACTGCTAAAAATAATTTGTTTTGTTTTTACTATTTCTTCCGGCCTTTCTTTCAGAAATTAAATTTTTTCGGGGATGATACATCACTTGATGTGTCTGGTTCATAATCTATAATTACGGCAAACCTCAGGACCACTGGTTGGATTTCAGGGCGGGCCACGACGCGGTGACGTTCGCTAAAAACCGCCTGCCGCGTCTCGAAGAAGCTACTGAGCTATCCGGCTTGTCCGTGACTGTACGACTTTGACGTCATCTGCGAACAACAGGCGACTACCCGAGCTACAGATTTGAACGTGCAGTAAAATTCGTAGTCCTACCATCGACGCCATATTCTGGGAACGTTTGCTGACATGCAGGTCAGAATCTGATCTTTCTTCATTCATACACGAAACACTAAAAATAAAATTAAAACACAAAGTACTTGAAAATTAAGATGTTGCACCCTGCTTTCTGGTAGAAATTGACCGACGTTTCACAGGCACCTGTGCCTTCATCCTTATCACCCATCACGGCAATTCGCCCTGATGATGGAGGAAGTAAGCACCTCTGAAACGTCGGTTAATTTCTAGTAGATTGTAACATAGCAACGTCCTGAAAGGCAAGCCATCTTCATACACGTCAACGTGAGACCTTTAACCTGTAACCTCTCCTAAAATAAAAAATTCTTTTGTTTTATATTGGTGTGAAATTTAGTCGCTTGACCGAATGTAAAAAAAAAATCACTCAACGCCTAAAGGAACAAAAACTGGAAGGAATATTTAAGAGTGAGAGTAAAGAAGTGATGAAAAACTCCATTATGAGCATTTTCAAAACCTTTCTGTCGACAGATATTAGCCATCTCAGCAAATAAAAATGTTTGTCATGGGCGAGATATGTAGAACGCGTAAGGAAAAATACACACAACATTTTAAAGTGAAAACCCTTTAGACGACTTGGGTCCCTAAGCAATTGTCGGAGGATAATATTAAAATTGATCTTGAAGAAATTGTAAGTAGACTGAATTCAAATGGTTTAAAACAAATTCCTGTCAGTGGCTCTTTTGAAAGCGGCATCGGGGTCTTGACCAGCTAGGCCACTATCAGAACCTCAACAAGGACTCTGTTTCATGAACTTCAGTTTCTACTCGAGCCTTTCAACTTTCTAATTTAGCCCGACTACAATTCTTTCTACTCGAAAACCACATGTGAATACCTGATGATGCTGACTTTGAGGAGAACTAAATATTCAAACAGTTATCTGAATCCACATGAACTTGAAGGTCACGATAAAGCTCAATTTTTACAGAAGTAAAATAGTTGCTCGAATCAACTGTCGGACATTCTGACCCACATTCGATGTCAGTCGATACCACAGCACTCCGCCGGTTCGTTATGCAGCCCAGCGTCGCACTCATTTTCAGCTGTGGGACTTGAATTGTTCTTTCCAACTGTGTGGGACTTTGCCTATTGTAAGTCCGGGCGGCACTTGATTTCATGTAATCTGCTGCAGCGCTATTACAGTCCATCAGATTTTTCTATTTTAATGTTTAAGACATAAAACATCTCTGCTGTTAGCCATAAAACGTCATGTATTATTCATAATAAAAATATAAATTTCGAGTATATGAGAAATTTTACAAGAAAATTTATGGTCTCAAGGGTGAAGAAGTGTGGGACATAAAAGGGATATTTTATATAGCCTATAAAATCTTATTCACATTTGCCAGATTCGCCTCGTCATTAGTCGCCTATAACGGAAAAAAAAGATCTTTCTGCCTTTATTTTCTTACCTGGAAAGTGATCAATCACAACGCGATATATAAGCAGTTCTAGAGCTATAAATAATACCCAACATAATGTAATAAAAAAAAATTGTTTCAGCGAAGTTTATTTTAGGAAATTCCCGGCCGAAGGACGGATAATTCCGCTGGTATAGTATATAGCCAATCGAAAGCATTTTAACAGTTAATGACGTCACATAACTTTGTTGGCGTAGTTATGTTCATGCGGTTACGTTGGGATGGGTACATATTTCGATGATAAACAAAAATTCGACAATTTCGGCGGCAAATTACTTTTTAAAATTAAATTATTTGATTATTCCGTCAAATCACAATCTATTTAAAATAAGATAATTAAGATAATTAAAATACATTGTGATTTGACGGAATAACCAAATAATTTAATTTTAATTTAATAAATCACAATATGACGCAACTACACTATTTTATAAATTACTTTTTGTAAACAATCTCAGAGAAGACAGAGGCCATGGGAGGATAATATTAAAATGAATACAAAGGAAAGAGACATTGAGGATTATACTGGCTCAAGATCGTGATACATTAACGGAGTTCAACTTCCGTGTTCTTACAACAGGAGAGTTTGTCTCTCCCTAATTTCTTATGAAGTAATGCACGAATTTCCATGTAATAGGTTATGAGCAAAACGGAATCAGAGGTCACGCTGCTTTGGTAGTGTTTTTTAATTTCCGGTCTTCATGGCGCAGTGTTTATATCCGTTAATAATAACATGGGATCCGCTTTGAGGTTTAAACAACACTGGCGCCCATATTAAAGCGAAACTCTCAAGTTTTTAGAGATGACAGATTCTCGAGAAATATACATATTTTGTTTAAGTTACATTTTTGTACTCTGTAAAATTACAGACTGTCTGGAAAAAATGAAATTTAGCTTTCCATCTGATACCGACAACAACAAAAACAACAAATCAGAAAGACCGTACCCGTATCTTAAAAATGGCGATAGTGCGAAACTCTGAGGTTATGTCTGACAAATATAAGGTGGTTGGAATTTAAACTTATCCAACACTTTCAGTTTCTCAGAGCTGCTAACCGCGGAATGGATGTCAGACAAACTGAATTCGACTTTTGTGGAAAAGTGAAAGACGTTGGTGAAATATATGTAAACGAATTTAAAAAAATAATAAAAGAATTCGGAGAGGAACTGAAAACCTTGGCATCGCCGCCATTAAAAATAACTTTCAACATTAAACTTGCTTTTATGTCGATATTACATTTCATAACTTACGTTCCTGGCATTTTAACTTTTACGATTGTATGATAAAGAAACAAACACTTCAAAGAGCTCTCCTCGTAGCTACGAGTTGATAATATTTACGCTATCTAAACACTAAATAAAATGGCAAACTAGTACTGAAATGTTAACACGCATCTCAGACGCTTTTATGGGAACATTTTCTAAAACAAGTGAGTCACGTGTTCTTACTGCATCTAACGAAGACCCTGAGGATCTGATAGTCGCTCAGATGACCAAGAAATTCTTGCGACTTCAAGTACGAACATGACTCTTAACCAATGCCCGATCTAAATCTTGCAGAACAACAAGGTACTTCTTTTACAAGTATGTATCTGAATGGGTGTGTATAGATCTGATTATCGAAACTCGAGATTTATTGCACTGTTCATAAAACCCGCCACTGGTCCCTGTCCTCTGACAGATGAATCTAATCCACATCATTACACTCTATTTAAGATCCATTTTTAATATCATCCTCTTGTATCTAATAGGTGTCCCAAACAGTTTCCTTTACGTTTTCAGGTTAAAATTCTGGATGCGTATCTCGCCTCTCTCATGCGTACTACATGTTCCGCCCATCTCTTCTTCCCTGTTTTGAATATCTAATAGCCTTTTGTAAATAATGCAAATTAGAAATATCCTCATTACGAAATTTAAAGTAATTTAAATAACTGATTAATTTACAAATCTTACTCTTTAAAAGACGCATGACAAACAGATATCTGGAGACGTCTAGGTTTAGGCTTTAGACGACACATGCTAGATTACACAAATGAAGTAAATTGTGTAAAAGGTTTTAGATATCAGTGATCGATCACTACACAGAGGTTACGTAAAATATACAGATCTTGGCAGATACACATAAAACAAATACTTTCATCCTATTCATTAGCAAAAACGATGGACATAAACTGCTCCTCTGAATAAAGAGGGTTTTACAACTGAATAAGACTGGGTCTGCGTCTCGATCTGAAAACAAAACCTGGGTTAATAATTCTCAAAACCTATGACGAACTTTGTACTTTTTAGGTCAATAATCCTCAAAACCTATGACGAACTTTGTACTTACACTGTAAAGTGGTACACGAAGCACAACCAACCCCCAGGGTGTTCCAGGAACACGTACACTCGCTCTTGGAACGTCCTGCCTCTTTTATGAAGGAACACATACTTGGCCTTGAACGCTTGGTCGATAGGCAAATAAATCGGGTAGTATGGGTCCGGAACACCTGGGGGTCCTCTCTTCGCGTGCCCCTTCCCCCTCTTGCCTCCCGACCCGTGTCCAGCTTCAACCCCGTCCACGGTATCTTCATCGTCTTCGAGTCCTTCGATGTCTTCATCTTCAAGGTCCTCACTTTCAGTCCTGTAACGCGCCGATGCGTCATTAAACCGGCGATGTCGTCTCTTGATTGGCGTCGGAACGCGTTTATGATGCGCCTCGCCGAAGCGGGGTCCTCTGAGATTCCTGAAGGGACGCAAGTGTTCGCCGAAGAAACTGAACCGACTTGTAGATTCAGGGGCGGGCTGGTTTGTGACAGGGTTTTCCTCCGCCTCGTCGCCACTCGTTCTGAGTCTGCGTCGTTCTTCCAGATCTTGATCCTCGAAAACACCATCATCATCAGAAGACGCAACTTCCTGTTGGTGATTATTCCTCTGTCGACGCGTATAGCTTGGGCAACTGGAGATTACAGGCGACTTCAAGACGCTCAAAACGATGTCGTCGTCCCCTTTACCCTGTCTTCGTGACGTGACACCGTCCAGGCTGTGCATGGAGGATGAAGCTTTGATTACGACCTCTCTGGACTGCCGGTATAATTGCTCTTGTTCGGATCTGTTCATCCCTGATGCCATAACGGCGCAAAACATTTGAAGGACGGAGTGTGGAAATTTTGGCGGTCCCCCCCCCGTGGTGAAGATTCTGGTCGTGATGGGGCACTCGCAAAATTTAACCACCAATCACCGTTCTGTCCTCATGTTCGCTCTCTCACACCCCAAAAGACTCTTCATGTTTCATCTGTGTATCAGACTCCATTACGTTTTAATGCTGAAATAAATGCACGGAGCATTCCACACAGGATGACCGCGCAGTCGAAGGATGACGCCCTTAATTTGTGTACCTCGGCCTTCAACCTCGTACGACCATTCTTCTTCTGCTTCAAAAAAGTGCTTGGTGGTTTATTTTGGTTTCTGTCTGGAAAATCCGCACTTCATTCTCAATATCGAACGTGTTTCGTAACATCCAGGGCTGACTGTCCAAGAGATCGACACGGCTAAGTACTAGTATACATTTTATATTTCTCCCACTGAACAGTGCCCTAAATATTTTCCCTAGAATTTGATATAAAATTGGAGTAGACTACGAAATAATTATACGTCGTCAAACTGACAAAGTTAAGTAATAAATTAACATAAATTTGATTTAACTTATCTGCGTTTAATATATAAAGCTGAGTGGAATATCAAAAATGTGAAGGCAGCTTGTTTGAGGGGGGAAATCAGCAACAGAATTTTTTAATTTAAAGACGAAAGTAGAATAGAACCCGAATTACGTTTCCACAAAATAGAACTCTGCTCCGTGTTCAAGTCTAAACACGAAGAAGACAAGATTTCCATAGCGACACACATTGCTTGTTATTGCTACATTTTATCACGCGATTGAGCAAACTTTGGTGCAGAAACATAAAAACAAGAGTAGGTTGGAACCAGAAGCTGCATAGGCCTTCAAAATACAGCGAAAACTATTCTAAAGTAGATATGCAATTCAAGCTAAAATCCAACTGGGCACACCACAAACATAATTCATAGTCTGAAGACAAATTAAAATTGCCACGCAAAGGACACCACTCTTGTATTTTTTTTTTCCCACGTCGAATTATTTATCTTTCTATTTTCCAGGGTTACTGCAATTCGTTGTAATCCATTAACAGACACATTCAGATTCTTCAAATTTCGGTTGTAGAATCACCAAAATCAACACCGCCTCTTCGTGGACGGAGACCGCGGCACCTCTCGGCGTATCACAGTCACAAAAACCCGGTTAACGAACAGCGAGCGACTTGGCATCGAACATACGCGGAAATAATTCAGGTCCCCTTCTGTCGCGCGCTGGGGTTACAATCGTGTTGCGTTCGCCTGTCCTTCAGAGCTCGTCGAACGCGGATTACTAGCGAAACAACAACATCCATGACCGGGGAGGGCAGAAAGCCGGCAACGACGAAGTCACGCGTGGCATAACCCCCCTTTACAAGCAACCAACTGTGGCGCTTGCTAACACAACTTGGGACTCTGTCCGTCAGCCGGTCTAGAATGGTTGCGCACTAGAACACTCGCAAACACCAAGGTCTGAAGCACTAAACAGAACCCGGGCCCCTACATCGACCGAGCGACGACACTGATCGAATCTCCTGGACAAACTCGTTTTACGCAACCTGCCCTACCTCACATTTCCAATTTCAATGAGACGGGGACCGGTCAGCTGATACTGTGTTTTCGGAGGATGGCTGGCAGTGGACCATGGTGATGGAGGCAACAAGGAATTCTGAAACGTCGGTAAACTTCTACCAGAGTACACAGCGCTACAACCCAGAAGACAGCCATCTTCGTAGTCACCGCCGTCACAACCTCAAATCGTAATGGGTTAGGTTAGGTTTAGTGTCGGTCCTTGGAAGGTTAGAATTATTAACAGTGAAATTACCTTATAAGACAATGACTAATACTGTACAATTGAGCAATTTTTCGAGTAAATTTTCGGTAAATGAGAGAGTAACATTTTATTTTATTTTTAGTGTTCTGTCTGACGACAGGTCCATATGAACAGGATCCTTCCATCCTTTTCTCGGACTGGGACCTGTTCATATACGTTCTTGGCAGATGATCCAGAAGTGGTTTGACATTGCCTTCTTCTGTGTGTGAATGAAGTAATTGTTGGGATGCCACGGAGAAAAACTCCGTGTTGCCTAGACCACCACAAGTTATAAATTCGAACCCGAGACCCCAGGATTACAAGGCCAGCGTTCTAATCGCTAGACCACCGTGGCGTTTAGAGTAACATTAAGGAAAAGAATAACAGGTTTCTAGTTATAAGAATAAATTATGTGTAGCGAGAGAATATCGCCATTAAAGAGCAGAGACTGCATTAGGCTTTGGCCCGCAAAAAAACCCGGTTTTGGACTCAATAAATAAATAACAACGCAAATACTATTCTTCAGAACAGAAATTTCGTGACTTTCAAAGAAACCGACAAAAGCTAAAAGTTATTTTCGGGCAAAACATGAGGACAAGCCGAAAACATTTGTTCTGTTCTACGTCGGGTCCGCGTTCACTCTGGACGTTTCCGTTATTACACACGAGTGCCGTGTAAACCAATATTTAACGACTTCTGAGAGCCTGTTCCACGAATAACCCTTTGTTCTGCAAAGGATCCAACATGCCGGAACGAAATAAATACGCCACGACCTCGTTCCGTCGTTGTCTTAGAATTTTAATACATCTAGTAACGCGCCCACCTCTTTAAAAAAAAAAAGTTTATGATCTGAACACTGGAAGTGGGCAGATTATAAGACACCAACGCAAAACGCATATTCAAAAAATACCAAGTAATAACTTTAATAATAGAATAAGAAAATGGGAGTAGATAAAAAGAATAACACGACTTAAAGGCGCGAATTTAGGTTCTCACGGCTTCGAGTTCTGCGTTGAGGTCTCTGAGTTCCTCAGTCGCTTAGTTAGCTGATTTATAGTTCCTTGGTTTGTTATTTAACTGGATGATCATTTGTTTTAAGTAGCTGTCGTCAAATGAAAAAAAAAATCGAACTAACACAAGTCGAATCGAAAATGCACGAAGTGTAAGCCTCGTCCTGCTGCACATTTGAAGCGAGGGCTTGCGATTCTATCTCTGTTCTACAATGCACCTTTGACCTTTCAAAAAGAGGAAGAAATCCATTATCGCGTCATCTGGGTAAGTGGAAAAGTCAGACAGCCAGAGGCTCGCACGTACAGACCATCTGCACCAGGGCGTTCCGACAACTGATTCCACACAAATGCGGGTAATAAAATATTTGGACATCACAAAGGCGGAGTAAGTGAAGAATGGGGAATATTACATAACAGGGAGCTTCATCATTTGGATTCTTCGCCCAATGGCGTTAGGAAGCCTAACACAGGTAGAGACCACAGCACGCAGAGGTAAACGCGATGTACAACAAACATTACTGCTAAGACGCCTTAATGCGCAAGACCAATCACCCCTTTGAAAGCCCAAAAGAGAGAGAGAGAGAGAGGGGGGGGAAATTGGTGGGGGAGAAGTGAGAGACACTTCGATATCTGGGGGGAGAAAGAGCATCTTATAACTAGAAGGTCCCCAGGCAATGCCCGCTCGTCCTTCTGTTAAGGATAAAGTAAGAGTGAAGGCGTTAGTGTGATGATTGGCATAAGAGGCGGAATTTTGAAATTTTGTATTAGCGAAAGCTGAGGCTATTAATTTGGAAGTTTAGGACATAATTTAGAAGTTCCTACTGAGGGGAGGGGGGTAAATTTTGACGGCGTTAAGGGGTGGTAAATTTTGATTAATTTAAATCGGGAGGGCTGCATGAGAAGCTTGCAGTGGCAACTTGGAACTTGGGAACCATCTCAGCATTTGCTTGAAGACAGAGGAAAACCAAGAAAAACCTGTGTCGAGATGGCTTTGAAAGCAAAGCTAATCTAAATAACATTTAACAATTCGGTCCGTACCGCAAAGAAAACAACACTTCACCATTACAGATATCAACTGATTTACCGACTGTTAAATCAGATGGTATATATAGTTACCATTGGTATTTAAAGCGTCAAGGTTTGATTGCGTGGTAGATTTTAAAACTTATCTTACAGAAATGTGTTCTGAACGTATGAAATGGATTCAACTGGCACCATGTGGCGAGAAATTTTGACACGATTATGAATCATGTGTCGTCCTGGGTAGCAAAACCAGAAAACAAAGGAAAATTAAGACAGAGCACGAGAAATGAAATGAGTGTAAAAGAAAGCATAATTAAATAAAGAATTAAAGAGTATATTAATTAATTTCTGGATGGGTGAAGACGTTTTCTACTTTTGATTTTACTAGAAAACTTGAGTTAGAAAATAATGCGATGGGAAAAATCACTGACTCTTTCTAACACGGAGTTGGGATGAATAAAACATAACAACAGAGATTTATCACACACATGCGATTTGAGGTTTCCACGGCAGTGATGGAGGTTAAAGCGATTATATGAAAAATAAAAAAATGAACATCAACTGCGCAAACACGTGAAAGTAAATCGAACGAAAAATTCTCTCAAGACAAAACAGAAACGACCCTGACCTCATCTGCATATTTCCCAAAACGTTTCCACGTGTAATGGAAATTTGTATTGAATCATTAACTTTGGAGCAATGCAATTAGACATTAATCAGTGTCCCAGCATTCTGAAATAAACACTGGGCTGTAATGACGACGTCTTCTGCAGTGAACTGACATTTGTTATCAACAAACTGCAATGCCATTCAACGCGTCTAACTAAGTAAGGCAGGGCCTGTGGAAAAAGAATCGATTCCTGCTATCGATTCAGTGTGTCATGTCTCCCTCCAGAAGCACATATTAGACCGACACACACACAGAACGATAGGATATGGCAGGGGTTGGGGGTAAGGGGTAAGTTACCATGCATTATTCATTACTGAAAAGAAACAGGGACATAGTAAGCAGGCACGTTCTGCAGGTTTACAGGAAGGGAGGTCGCGACAGTTGTACCACGTCCCGGAAAATTAATTTCCCGCCCTTAACACGCACACAAAGCGCACAGCGATTCAAAAATAAGAATTCTTTCCTCAACGCCAATTACTATTGTGCAATGCCATCATAATAGGTACAAGACGTCTATTCTTCAAATCGTACGTGGATTTGAATCCTTGGCAGTGGATTAAAACGTCGACTTCAATAATTTTAACTGTCTCCTGTTTCTCATTGGTTATACAAAGTTTCTCAACGGGACATTACGATGCAAAATGAAGACACACTCTGTTGTGTGAGCTTGTGACTCGCCTTTAGAATGACAGACATGACAGTTCATCGGCTAACGCCCTAAACTCGGCCCTTGAAAGTCCCACATCGAAAATGGGTTTTAACTCGTTTTTGGGGTTCAAGGACAGCCAGCTACTTGCTTAGTTCAAGTGTTAATCCTTCGGTATGTCAACGATACTGGAAGTGTGTGTTTCTTCAAGGACATTCGAGGAAAAATTATAAATAAAACGACTGGAACCCTTGATGACAGACATCACACACGTCAAAAGAACTTAACAAGAAACGAAAACGATTTCTACATCTGTGACATTGTGTAAACTTAAAATGCCTTCTATTAATTTTAATCCAATTATAACTGTTTGGTACTGTAAATCTTCAGATAATAGTTAAAATTTAGGTCTATATTACGTACTTCGCCTTTATTTCTTGAGATGAGAAAATCACAAATCACTGTCGAACGCCTTTGTTCTAAATTTCGTTCTGTTGGACAAAAAGTGACGAGCCCCCACTGACTTGAAGTGCCAGTTTACAGTTTACAGAACGTACTCTCTCTCTCTCTCTCTCTCTCTCAATACTCGGCCATGCTTTCGGATGCCACAGCTGTGTGCGTATCAATCAATACGGCAGTAATTTGAAATGCTATTGAACTGTTTGTTACGGGACAGGCTGGGCTGCGAGGGGGGGGGGGGGGGGAGGTAACCCCTCACCGACCTATTTAAGCGTGACCTTGGTACGCGTCCAATATGGCGGCTAGTACACAAAGAGTGTAACATTTATTTTTGGTTTCGTGTTTGCTGGAATTCATTTTTACGTTATCTGTTCGCCGGGACATGTTTTTTTTATAATTTATATCTTAATTGCGTCATGTTTGTGTTTTATTGATACAATATTTTTATTTTCCGTCTATACACAAACTTAAAATAATGTTGTTTAAAATTATCTAAAATTATAACATTCTCAGTAGACACTGCATCATGTTACATTTTTTGTAT